TCAGCGATCATTGAGATTTTGTTTTGATATGAGAGAGAGGTATATATGGACAAAAAATCCAAACTCAAAAGCTAGGGGTTGTGGGGTATTATTCTTTTGTATTGTATTTCTGTAAGCTGGCTAAATTTGGACCCAAGTTCTCTCTCTTCATACAAGGTTTGGATTGTATCTCTTCCAAACCTAAAATAATGTAAAATTTGTGACCAAATTGGATGAATGATCCTTCAACGGCTCCTTCATTTTCTCAAGATATAAGGATTCGATTGGTATTTGAAAGAGATATATAATAGAGTAGAATGAATTTTGAGATTACAGTATTATATTTTTAAGTAACCACATATTATGATAAACTGAATATTTTTCATATTATTTGTACAAATATGGAGAGAATTATTACCCTAATACTAGAAACTAATTTCTTAACAAAATTATTCTTTTCATGACACGATCAAATTTCAACTCTCAAGGAATTATTTATATGAACAATAATAATAATAATTAATTTGTTTCGCACACCAAAAAAGTTTCAATCTTGAGACGGTGAAAAGGATAGGAAATTTTCATTTTTTCCAAGGTATGTGACGTGTCTAAATGGAGACAAGAAAGGGATTAATCAAAATGATTCCATTAAATCGCCAACTTAATACTTCACAAAAGCAGCAAATTGGAGAAAAGTCAAAAACCAAATGCCACTAGACCATTTGAACAGTACATTATGTATCTTAACTGTTAAAGGGAACGGTATTTTCGAGTACCTTCTAAATATTTCGGTAACGATATGATATTGTCTACTTTGAACATAACTCTCACGACTTTACCTTTTGATTTTATCTAAAATGTGAGACGTTGGTCGCATATCCAACAATCACCTTAGGCAATAAAGAATTTCTACCAAATTAAAACAAAATTAGAGAAAACCGAAGAAGAAGAAAAAAACTTTAAACCTAAACAAACAAACTTCAAACTTTCTTTTCGAATTGCAAGCTTTTTTAGTTGATTGACGAAAATCGTTGGCTAACATTTCTGTTGCTCGTTCGTGAATCAATTTAAATAAAAAGATAATAGTGTCTTGAAGTAAGGGGGAGGCGGCCACATTATTATTCTCTCTTGATGTGAACGTGTGCAATGCAAAGTCACGGGGGGATTTAACTTTGGAAATATATGAAATCAAATTACGCTTTTTGTCAATCAAAATTTGAAATGTTAGAAGAAAATGAAGAATAAATTTGGATTAATGCATTTAATGTGGATCTGTCGGATTATATATATATATATAAAAGGCAAATCAAACCTATATATATTAATGTTTATTTAGGTGTTAATGATGATGATTATTGATATTTTGGTGGATGACAGTAAAAAAGGTTTGGGGAAAAAAGCCGGCAAAAGATCTCATTTCTTGATACCCTAAAATCTATATGATTCTCAAAAGAAGAAAAAAAAAAGGCCATTAGGGTTGAAAAATCAAGCTTTTCGGATCAAAAAATATAATACTTGGTTGCATTTACTATTAATACTAATATTCAAGCGCGTTGGCCTTTCAAAAAATAAAATAAAATAGTATTCAAGTGCATAACATATAAAAAAAAATAGAGAGAAAATAAATTTGTTCTTTTTTTCAAAAAATAAATAGGTGTTAATGTTTTAATTGGGGTAAGTAGAATATCTGGGTCGTAACAATTTAACCTTTTGGTCAGAGATAAATGTCTTAACTATTTGAACTATGTCCGATTTGACAAAAAAATAAAAGTAATTATCTTTTATTAAAGAGGATTTTGAAGTCTATTTTATGATTGTAACACACGTTGTTTGTTGTATAGGGATTAGAGGATTCATTCTTTCTTATTCTCGTCCTTGGTGTCTACCACAATTTTCCTTACTCACTCGTAGGTCCTACACACACACCAAATCAAAAATAGGATCTTGTTGATTTTGAAGGATGGGATTCCTTTAAGAAAAATGTAAAGAATCTCATTTTGATTCTTGAGTTTATGGACTTTATTTTTTTTATTTTAATACTTTTATCCTTTTAATATATACTTTTCTTTAAATGTATTGTTTTTGTTCTTCTCTTCATATTTCTATAATCAACAACACTTGGTGTTTTGCTGCAATTAAAATTTTTTGACAGGTAAGAGAAATATAGAAAAAGAGAGGTTTTTTTTTTCTTTAAATGAAGACGTGGTTAATTTTCTTCTTTAATAATATAATTATTATCCGCGTTTTGCTTTTAGTATTACCTAAAATGTCTCATGCAATTGGATATGATTGTCTTTACTTATTACATGCCACATAAATCTTCCTCACTTCTAACGTTGTCGTCCCCAAAAAATTATACTCATTCTCGTCAAGTAAACCAAGTCCTTTATTGAGCAATATCGTAGCTAGAGAGAGATGAAAATCATGAAGTATACATATATAAAATTATTGAAATGAATTGATTATAGACTTAGACATGGGTATGGAGAACACATATGGTTGAAGGGAAAATGGAAGAGAGAGACCCCCACAAGCACAAAAGGGTAGAAATGATGTTTTTGTGGAAACTAAGGCAAAGTTATTTTAAGTTTAGGTAGTTGCTAACTAAGTTGCCTTTGTCTTGTCCCATCCCATCACCCATGTGACTCTTTGGCTCCCACTTCTTCATTCTATACCACAAAGCCACAAATATATCTAGAATTGAATAATATAATGGCCCGTCTTTTCTTGTTTTGATTCTTTTTCAATCACTCTGGCGGATTTTTGAGTTGAGTAGTCATTTTTTCGAGGTATACAATATTTTGTTGTTAAAGAAATACATAAGAAACTAATATTTAGATAGGTGGGCATCATCGAATTTGAACTCTTTCGATTTACAATTGATTAAGACGTTATTTTAGGTCGTGATCAAATTCCCACCCAAAAAGAAAGAAAGAAAAAAGAGAGATCATTTTCTCTTCTTCCATATCATTCCCTTTTGTCTTTTTCTTTTCTATTTCCTCAACTCCATAGTCCCACTCCCACACCCCTTTGCTTTCTCCCAAAACAACCAATTATAACTCTCAATTAATTCTTTACTTTTCATGATTATTTCCTATGAAATACCCAATATTATCCTTCTTTTGTATTCTACCATTCCAAATCAGTCTTAATTTATTGGTCTCATCTTTAACCCTCTCTAATTGGTTTAAATTTTGTTTATTTTAATGACGAAATAATTCATTAATATTTAATTTCTATAACGTTGGATTAAGAAATATATATTGAATATATTTTTTGATTTCTAACCTTAAATTTTTAGGATTAGTGCCTCGTTTTACGAGATACATTATAAAATTTATCTCGAATGTTTTTTTAGTTTTCTTATATCCTACCACGAAAAGAGTATGCGTCACACTTAGTTGTCTTAATCAATAATTAGTTGATAGGATGAAGATGTCAAAAGTATGTGGATAGAAAAACTTCCACGAACTTGGCTATTGGTTTGTTAGGAGCCGATCTAAAGATTCCGTGCCTAGATGTCTTGATTCATTTTTTTTCGTCGTATTGAAAAAAAAAAAAACCTTTGGATGGATGTTTTTGTTTTTATAGCTGATGTGATAAAAATTTTCTTTTATTTTGACAAAAATTATTGAAGTGAAAACGACCTAGGAGGTTTGATTTTGAAAATGTCTGTACATATACCTATAATTTTGAAGACAAAATTTAAAAATGTCCTTTTCTTTTGAAAATTACAAAATTGATTTCTCCATCAATGTTTTCATATTACATATTCTAGATTGTTGATCAACAGTCTCAGTCATATATTTGAATATTTATAATCAAAATATATTTTTTTTATTCAACGATCATTATCTTCATACATTAAAATTTTATTTTAAAAAATTTATTATACGTAATAAAATTGTCGAAATTTACTCAACAAATATTATCGTATATAGCTTACATTTACTCTTATGCCCTCCACTATCATTAAATTTTAAGGAAAATGTGTCTAAATAATTGTGGGAAAAAGCATAAGAAATCGAATCTGTACCATTTATTTTACGATGTAATATTAATTTATTTAAAAAAGGAAATTTTAACTCAAAGATCAGGAGGCATATCGTGGGCTTAACTTTCAGCACTTTGGGCTTAGCCCGGCCCACTAACTATATGTTTGTGTTTCTCAAGTTTAACTGTAGCAAAGTTGACTACATTATAATTAATAATGAATATGTTTTTGTAATTATAAATGTTTCTTTGAATTGAGAAAGCATTGAAGATGAGAAAACTTACATTTATATATCAATTTTAAAACTCCAACACAATTTAATTTTTCTATTAAAAAAATAAAAAAAATAGTCAAATGAATTGAGAATATTTATTATTTATCTTTAGAAGATAACCCAATTATATTTTTCAACTTACATTGTAGAATAATTAAGAGATATAATTTGTCTCCAAAAAAAAATATTGTGAGTTATAATTTCAATTTAAATTAATTAATTGAAATTAGTTTAAAACAAAAGTCTTAAAATATATGTTGTTTGGTCAAATAAGTAAAATTATTCACATTAGTACACCATTCCAAAAAAATATTCAACCCATTATTAAAATAATGTATAGTTAAATATAATAAAAATTTTATCTAACCTTTTCATGATAATATTGTTAGTACTAGAAGATTTTCTAAGGAGATATGTTTTCAACGCAAATTACCTTCACAGTGTATGCCTACTTTGACCAATCACATCCCATATTTTATTATTACTGTGTTACTACTTAATTATCAACTAGAGCATAGTTCAATAGGTGACATGTATCCAATTATGAGGTTGAGAGTTCAAATCCCTACCTCACGTGTTTAACTAAAACAAAATATTTATATTATTATCTTTATTTATTTGTTATATCCCAATTATTAGTATAAGGTATAGAAAATGTTGCAATAATGGATCTACAAGTCACAGTAGCGTAGACACAACTCACAAACAAAAGGATTCGTGTGGCGTCATCTTATTCATTAGGGTGGATAGGGATGACAAATTTTTGTACCCACTATCCAACACATAGGACGTTTGAATTAGCGGAAAGTGAATGTTGTGGCCAATCAATACTTTTTCTATTCCTTAACAAAGCTTTTCTTACTAAAAAAAATTATTAGTAGGAACATGGAGATTAAACCTAAGATTAAATGTAATAAAAAGATGGGAAATCTAAGTACAAAGTAGATCAAAAAGTTAAAAACAAAATCTTAATAATACATGGAAATTATTTGTGATTAATTTAAATAATTAGGGTAAGAAATTATTGGATTGAGTTTTGTTGAAAATTCTCTGGCCAGGAGAGAGCAAGTGTTTAGGGTCGAACATGGCCTTCCTCCGCGAGAAAAGAGGCCATTTCCCGCCAAAATGTTTAATCCAATCTTCTTGAGTTTCATAATGGGGAAGATATTGCTTCACTTCGATCCCAGTTTCTTCACACAACTTCAAAATGTCTTTTATATGATCATCAAACGCCTGCCACTCCCCGAAACCGCTTGAAAACAGAATCGCCGCCGTGTAGAACACGTCTTCCTCGGGGATCACGGCCGAGCTCCGTTCATCCCACCTGCAAAAGTTTCCCGTCAAGAAAAACAACATTTTTCATAAGGTCTCGTTTTGTTAGGATACGAGTATGAATAAATAATTAAATATATGCTGACATATCAACTTATAATAGGAGGGTCTGATATCATATTAAATTTTTAACTTTTGTTATTTATTTATCAGTTATCAATTGAGATGTGTTCTAATTTTTTAAACTAGCTTCCTTAATGTAGACAAGTGATTTATCGCAAAAACTTACAAGTTTTTAAACATGGGATAGAAGAGGACGACGCCGGAGGTGAGATTACGTTTTTGAATAATGCCTTTGAAAACGCCCGAGTCGAAATCGACGATTCTCGACTTCGGAATGAAAAGATTCAGCCATGGATGAGGAACATCCCACAGCCCTAAGGCTCTTAAAGCTAGCTCGTCATTGTGAACTCGATCTAGAAATTCCTCGTACGTGACGTCTTTGATGAACTTGAACCCGGGCTCAAATCTTAGCCCTCCCAACAATCCCTCCAATTCCTATAGAAATAGAGAAATTATTCGAGAGGAGTGAAACAAGGTAGCTGATAATTTTACATACCATAAAATTAGCAAAAAATAATAATAATAATTAGTCACATGGCAAGGATTATATTGAATAATTCATTATTATTAAGAAAAAAAAGGTTTAAAGAGAGGACCTGGTCAACGGAAGAGGCAGATTGTTGGTCGTAATATTTGGCTACTTCAAGGACGTAAACGATGCCGTATTGGGAGACAAGGGAGGAGATTCTGGGCTGGTCCGCGAGAGGGAAAAAGGAGGAATTATCAGGTGTGCTCAGATGCAGCATAAGCAAACCTTCAACGTAATTCAGGCCGTTGGATTTCTCTTTTCCATTGTTGGATATCAGAAGCTCTTGATCCCTTGTAATTGCAGAGAAATCTGTGTAAAGCATCCTCACCCATTTAACCTACAATAAAATAATAATCCATATAAAAAATGAAATCTTTTTAACCTTAATCCATAGAAAATTTATTCATTAAAAAAATATAATATAGAAAAAGTCAAAGAAACCGTTAAGAATACGTAAGGTCGTTAAAAGGAAAGGGGAAGATCTTTAGAAAACGCTTATTAATTAATTAATTAAGTCTCACGTCACGCAATAATTTAATTATGCTAATTTTGTAGAGTTTAGCCGGCCAAGGGCTGTTTAATCACACTAAATCGGATCTATTTTATTCATATAAGTTAATAAAATGGGTATTTAATTTGACTAATCAATAATGAGAGAGACCTTGGTGGGTGCCGGAGCAAGGCCAATTCTAGCTCTCGTAATGACGCCGAACTGACCCAGGCCGCCGAGGACAGCGTAGAAGAGCTCCGGGTTGGTATTGGGCGAACACGTCAAAAATTCTCCTTTTCCTGTAAATTGCACCCAACGATAAATTATTGAATATAATCGTCAAAAATCCTCCTTTTCCTTAATAAAGTATTTTATTTATATATTATTAAGCTAAATAATACAATTCAACTTGTTTTATCTCATAAAAAGTGATCCTTAGAGGTGTAGAAAGATAATTCAAATGATGGAAAAATATTTTGAGAAATTAAAGGAGTAAAAATCGATAAGAAAAACATAGAAGTCAATCTGAAGATAGTATAGCCAAGAGAGAGATGTTGGTATTCTAAAAAAAGAATTCCGAGAGAGAGAAAGAGACCAGTGACGACGTCAAGTTCATAAACATTGCTGATTTGAGGCCCGAATCGAAACGTTTGACCGCTGATTCCGGCGTTGGACAGCGTCCCGCCGACGGTGATATGCAAATAATCCGTCCACGACACGGGGGTGAGCCCCTTGTGCATCGTTGCATGCAATACGTCAATCCACAATTGCTCACCACCGACGTCGGCATACGATGCCGCCGTCGAAACCACAATTCTACCGGCCCCTTGTCGAAAACTAGCGAGCGAGGTCATGTTGACGACCACTCCATTCGGCACCAAGGCTTGCCCGCGGACGGAATGGCCCTGCCCGCGGGCAGCCATATAATACGGGGTCGGAGATGCATACATAAACCGGATCAACCCGGCGATGTCGTTGGCGGTCACCGGAAAGAAAACGGCGAAAGGGTTCTGTTTGATTATCCGGCCGTAATCGGTGGAGGCTAAATTGATGGTTTGGAGGTCAGTTCGGAGCTTCTCTGCGATGGCTTTTGGTAGAACCAAACTCCGAGCCACAGCACAAAACGGTGCGTTTTGGAGAATCAGAAAATAAGTGAATAGGAAAAAAAAGAAGTTGGGTGATGCCATTTTGCGTTTCAAGAGATGAAGAAGGAAGAAAATAAAACATGCATATTTATAGAGAAATTTATCCAAAAATAATAATAATAATAAATAATAGAGAGAGACGATGAAATCTAAAAAGGAAATAAATGTGTGTGGAGAATGAATGGAATGGCAACCTAGAATTGACTTCTAAACAATAGTAAGTTATTAAATATTATAATTATAAAAGTTTTTAAATGGTATTATTCTTTATTATTTTCGGTTGAATAAAATTTTAAATATGGTTTTAAATGGTAATGAGTGAACAAAAAAATAATATTAAAGTGCTTTTTTATATATTTTGTTTTCTGGTGGAAGTTAATGCGTTAATATATAGCAAACAAAATTATTAGGGACGTGATTTCAAACGTGTTAGTGACTAAGCTAAGTATTTAGAAATCAAATTTGCTTTTAGAGAGGCATTATTTCAAGTGTAATCTGTTCTTTTTTTTTCTCAAAAAAAGAAAAGTTTGTAATCTGTTCTTCATTTGAATATTTATTTGTTATTTGATAATTAAAGTAATAAACTACATATCTTAAATAGCTTACAAATGTTATTATTATTATATATAGCGGATTTAGAAAATACAATACTTGTGGGAAATTATAATTACTTCTTTTTATTTCTTTTTATATTCATGACCATTTGGTCGGGATATATGCTTTAATCATGCCAATTTCTTTTTTTGAATCTAATGAGATAATTCGGACCCATTAATTTTCATGTTCTTTTTTTCAAATATATGTTTTTATTTTCAAACACGTGTACAAATATATAAATTTAATCACTCTCAACTTTTTGTCAACAAAATTTAGTAATTTTTTTATTGAAGGTCAAATTGTGAATGGATGACAAAATTGAGAATCATAAAAGATGAGGGATCATTTTGCATATTTTAATTTTATTTTTAGTCTAAACATTCAACAAGATATATTATGGACCTATGCTTTTTTTTTTTCAAAGACTGGTTTTTAATTTTTATGTTTTTAATTTATTCAATTTTGAAATGAAGTAATTTTTATTATATTCATTAAAAAGAAAGGTATTTGACAAAATTAGTATATAGTTTTAATGTATTGCAAATGACAAATTTATTTTACGTTATGTAATCTTTTTACCAAAGATAAAACGTAAATAGAGAAAGAAAAGAAAAGTGTTTAAAGAAAAGGGAAAAAATAAAATTGAACTCTAATTGTCGTAGAAAATTAGTGGAAGATAAATCATTTCATTGGAAGGAGTTAGCAAAATTGTTGATACTTTATGATTAAAAACAGTTGGTGGTAACAACAATAATAATATATAATATTAATTTTTATTTGATAAATTTTGTTGACTTAGTACTAACAAGGAGGATTATGCCAATTACAGCTGATATGTATTTAATTTTTGTTGCATTTGATTAAAATTATATATATATATTTACATATTTCCTTCATTTATCAACATCATGGATATGTATTTAATTTTTGTTTATTTAATGAATTTTTCAATAGTTCCAATTTGTTTATTGCAAATTTTAATAAAATTTAAGCTAATTTGAAATTCATTAGTAAAAAAAAAAAAAGAAGAAGAAGAAGCTAAGTTTTAATATCCCAATTTTAAAATATGAATTTTGTCGTATTTTCATTTCCAAAAAGTTATTTTTGCTAGCTTGGACCTATATTATATTTATTTGCTAATTATTTCAAATTTATCTTTTTCATTTTATTACTATAAAATAATGCTTCGTACAATCGATTGATATTTTATTTTGTCATAGACTTAGAATAATACATAAATATTGTATTACCGTTTAAATTAATACATAATAAATTGATAAAAATGAGAGAGAATAAATAATCTCATAACATGCTAATATGAAATATGAATCTACATATAGTTCCCGGCAATAAGAATATCATAAACATAGTTTGACAATATTCTAATCTCATATAGTTGAATTAAGTGCACAAATATTTTAGATTTAAAAAAAAACACACAATACACTAATTATCAAATAACAAAAGAAAAAAACCATAGTAAAAAATTCCAAGCCTCTATTTATACACACAATCCTTAAAATAAGAAAAAAAAAACAAAGTTTAGAGAAAATGGTGGAAAACAACTCATTTTTATAGCGGGTGAAAATTAAAAGTAAAAGAAAAGAAAACCATGTAATTCAAAAAAAAATTATATTAAATTGAATGATTTTTTCAAAGATCAGTTTTTGAATTTCAATGTTGGCTTTTTCTTTTCTTTTTTTTTTCTAATATGAATTTGTCCAGATTTACACGATGTTTCAACAGAATTAATTTTTGAGTGTTCCATTTGAATTGTCAACTCTCTCTCTTTCTATCTCTACAGAGTTCATGCATAATTTTATTTTCTCCAATTAGGAAAAAAAATCTTTAAAATTTTGGTAATTAGTTGAGTTATCTTGTTACCATTCTAACAAATACATATCTAACAGTAATAACTCACCTCGTCAAATTTGATTGTCTTGTTGATAAAATTAATGGTTTAGTCGCCGCCCTAATCTAAGTCTGAATTTATTTCCTACAATACATTTCTTAAAATATATATATAAGGATAATTCGTCCTATTAACTTTATCATAGAAGATACGATCAAATTTGATTTTAATTATGATTCTTTTTCATTTTATACATTTTTCTTAACTACACAATGGTTATTTCTTGGAAGATTTTGTGAAGAGATCATTTCCTTGATTTAAGCAACTAATACAATCCATAGAAAATGAATTTTTATTTAAATAGTAGTTTAAGTTTATTGGTTGGTTTACTCAAATTATTTTACAACTTTCCACCTTTGCTTTTGATGTAGGAAATCACTTAAAACTTGGAGTCAACCATGAGCACAATATATTTTCAAGAATTTGAAGGAACTCAAATTTGTTCAAAGTATCTCAAGATAAAGGCTAAGCCTACCTAGTGCTCTCAAATTAGACTACAAGATTAGATAGCTACCTTTTTTCTTATATTATATTATGTTGGAATATTTGGAATACTTTTTTTTTTACGTATTTATCCTATGTTGACATTCTTAACCTCGATGTTAGGTTGAAAATGATATTTCTTAGGTAAAGTATGTCAAGACTGTTACATATAATATTAAAGAAGACAAATTGGACAAAATTTTAATCCACGAAGATTTTTTCTTTCTTTTTTTTTATGGGACAAGAAATAGAGGGAATAGAAAGGGATTGAAGTGCAAATTAAAAATTTCTCAGGAACCCCAAATGGGTGACGATTCAACCAAGAAAAATAAATATATGAAATATGAAAGTTGTGACAAATTTAATTTATGTCCAAAAAAAAAAGTTGGTAGTTTTTACTATAGATGGTATTTTTTTAATTAGCAACGCAATCAAGGCTGTTTCTAAGGGTTATTATTAAAAAAGAATTAGTGTTAAAAATGGATAATGTCTCGATCAAGATTAGAGAATTTAATGCTAAATCCCCCAACCCCAATATAAATAAAACCAAAATTTCTTCACAACAGTAAAGTCTTCGGATCACGGTTTTTACTGTAGGATGTCGAGATTTGATGAGAATGACATTAAATCTTTGAAAAAGAAGTGTCATATGATATCAATTTTTAAAAAACCAGATCAGTTTTGTTCATTTATTTTTCTAATGACACTAATATTAAACTTCATATCTTCTAATTATCCTCGTTCCTTTAAAATCAGATTTTGATGATCAGAATCAGATCATATTTTTCCTTTGAAAAATATATATGCTGCAGAAAAGTCACTGTCCAATCAGATTGGGTTAATCAGATCCAATCTCAGATGATGGTAACAAAATATTTAGAGATGACGGCAGATGATTCAAACAAATACACCAAAGGAAATTAGATATAAATATTAGAAGGAAAAAAATGTATGGAACACCAAAAAAAGAAAGATAAATGAATAAAAAGTACCAATTTTGTAGCCTTTTTAACTCAAAACAGCCAAAAATGTAATAAATAAAAGGTTCAATTATTGACGGCTAAATCACCCTCAATTTAGTTTGAATACAAGTTTAATTTGATTCATATAGTTCGACCAAACCTCACAGGTACGTGACACTTTTTTGTTTATTTAGGGCTAGTTGACTATATTAGAATTTATGACCCAATAAAAAAAAAAATAATAATAATAATAATAAGCTTAATGTATCAAATGTTCCATAGTTTAATGATATATCAATTTATTGTTGACAAAAATTTTAATTTTTTAAGAGATGATCTAATTKAGAATTTTGTATACATTGGMGGCAATATTAAGAATTTTAAAAGATCGACCCAATTGTGAATTCTCTACCAGCTCAAAGATCATTAGATATATTTACCCAAAAGAAAAAAATACAGATCTTTTTGTGGATAGACAATTTATGAGATCTAATCAAAACCGAACTTCTAAAATCATAAGGATGAGATTGAAACTAAACTCAAACTATAGGAACTAAATTAAAACATTTTTTTCATATCCATATATCCAGACTAGCTGGCACGCACCTCGACTATTCACGAGTCAACCGTCTAATCACACCACATTTGGTTAACAAGAGAACTCGTAGGATATTAAATCCTACGTAGATGACCACCATGGTTTGAACTCATTCCTTCTAAACTCTTTACTATTTACATTGATCCTTACTAACCAAATA